AGACTCCAACTCAAAAAAAAAAAAAACAACTTCTGGCCAGGCGTGGTGGCTCATGCCTGTAATCCCACCACTTTGGGAGGCTGAGAGGAGAGGACTGCCTGAGCCTAGGAGTTCGAGATCAGCCTCTGACTCAAGAAAAAAACAACTGCTCTAGACCAGTCTTCCATGGTGATGTTTCATCTGCCTCAACTACACACAAGTACCTACAGACAGGCAGACACAGACACCCAGATATGGCACCCACGAGCTACTGCCCCAACCACTGTTCCCTCAAAGAGCCAGATCAGCACACCCAGATAGCCAACTACAGACTGAATGCTTAGGAGTATCTGAACCTAAGAAAGCTGCTTCCATTCAAGTCCTGCATGAGCCTGTCACTGCAAGAGGCTCTGACATCATACTCGAAACCCAAAGTCACAGCATTTCTCTTTTTTGAAAGCACTCATGAGCAATCCCACCCTTCTTCACCCTTCACACATGGGTAACCCGCAGCTGCAAGATCCGCTTTCTGCCCAGGGATGCTTTCAAGTTTCTGAATCAGAAGAAACAGCTGAAAAAGGAAGCCAACAACAACAACAAAAGCAGCCCACTCCTGGTGGGGAGCATGAGCCCCCAAGCTAGGGACCCCATCACCCCACTGTGGGCAACTCCACCAGCTCTCACTCACCAAAGTAATCGGCCTTCGGGTGAGCATCCATCTCTTGCTCCAGACGCTGGGTGAGGGCTTCTAATTTCAATTCAGCGGCCGAGGGTCTGAGTTCAGGACCTGGAATGAGGGTCTGGCAGGGCAGCCTCACCCTGGGAGAGTTAGGGCTCTCTGGCACAGGTCCGAGACTACTGTCAGGGGACCAGCCCGGGGGACCTTCTTTACAAGATAACTCAGGTGGGGAGGACATCACTGGATGGACAAGGCTGGTGGGGCTGAGCTTGGGACCAGTGCCAAGGTCTGTGCAGCCAGGCTTAGGCCCCAGCCCAGAGACCGCACTTGGCTGTGAACTGTCCATGCCGCCTGATGAGGATGACAGGGCAGAACTGGAAAGGAAAGATTTGGGACCATCCTGGAACCAGGGTTGAGGGTCCACAGTGGGTTTGGCCATCGCATCTGAAACCTCACTCACCAGTGCTGAGTTTGTTCTTGGAAGAGCTCCCTGACTGGGGCAGTTCAGGGCGATGGGTGCTGCCACAAAATGGGTCCTGGGGTGAGCGGGCCCCAGGGCTGGGCCTCCATTCTCCAAACCTGGGGAAGGCAGGCCAGGGCCCACACGCTGGGAGGAGGCAGTGGACCAAAGGCCTGCTAGCTTCTCGCTGCTGCGGCCACCAGTGCCACTATCCTGACCACTGAAGCCACCCTCAAAAGACCTGATGGAGCTCAGGGGCTGTGGCTGGTACAGGTGATGGTCCCTGCAGGGTTTGGGCAGTGGTGGGTCACCTCCCAGGGTACCAGGCCATCCACTCTCTACACCCAGGCTGACCCTGGGGGACGCTTCTGGTTTGTCACACCACTTTGGGCTTGCCAAAGAAAGGTTGTCGTAATAGTCTCCATGAGTGAGGCAGGAAGGATCCTCGCAGGGTCCTTGCTGGTGGAAAGCAGACATCTCGGAACTTGCCAGGGTCTCCCTGGAACCACAGTCCTGGCTGCTGCGCCTTGTACCATGGACATATGGCCTGGACTTCTGCTCCTGGGACGGGTACGAGGGCTGCCCAGCAGCAGTGGTGATGGCTGCCCCAGGTGCCCCTGTTGAGGCAGCAATAGGGGGCTTGGCAGCACCATCCGCGGTCAGTTTGCTGCCCATACCAGCCTCCCGGTGAGCCAGCGAGCCCAGGCGGCCCCCACCGTTGACAGGACCTCTGCTCCCCCTGGGCAGGGTCTCCTCCTGCAGAAGCTGTTGCTGCTGCTGGAGGTGGATTTTAGCCATCTTGGTGGCAAACACTCTGCGTGTTTCCTCAAACTCAGGGTTGTTGCCTGCACCCTTGTCCACTCGGAAGAGGCCATCCTTGGAGGCCTCATACATGTTCAAGTCCTCGATGAATTTACTGGCCTCCAGGCCCAGGTCATCATACTTATCCATGTCGCAGACTGGTATCCAAGTCTAGCCCTGGTGCCGGGTGTGTTGGGGTGGGTAGGGAGAGACGCTGGCGAAGGGCACGGAGGCTCAAGTCCAGCCCAGAACAGGTAAAGACTTCCACCTGCCCAGCGTGAGGCTCATGACTTAGAGTCCGGCCGAAGTTGAGGCCTCGGGCCAGCTGGACCAAGTTTGCTTCCAACTCCCTCACCCCTCGGAGGCGTCCTTGTGGAGGCAGCTGGTGGTGCTTCGCTGTCCCGGCCTGCTCTGCGGAGTTGGAGTTCTTTTCTTTTCTTCAAATCATAAAAGGAAAAAGAAAAAGGCAAAAAAGAAAAGAAAAATCACACCCTCCTTAGGCAGTCAAACTCGGAAAGCCACAACAAGGCAGCGGCGGACGGGGCCGGAGCGGGGCAGCTCGACCGCGAGTGCAGAGGCCGCCGGCCGGACGCGGCCGGAGCAAAGGCGAGGGGTGGGGGGCGCAGGCGCGCCCCGGCGCTCGGTCCTCCCGCGGCTTCCTCCAGCGCCCCCGG